TTTTTGGGTCCTTATTATAATACGGCACCTATTATTTAGGGGACCCCAAAAGGGACCCTAATTTAGAGAACTACCCACATGAATTGCATGCTCGTCGCTTTACCACGGCCGCAATCCTCGGCTGGTTCGCAGGGGCAGTACTCTAAATTAGGGCCCTTTTAGGATTCACAGGCATTGTTTCGGCCAAACGCTGAACCGAGAACACAGTATTGCTACTGCGACTATGACGATATTTGGTTAGTATTCTGACATTGCTACTGCGACTATGACAAAAATTGGGGTAGTATTCTGACTACTCCTCCGGCGAATCTTCATCTTATTACTTTTGTGCCGAAGAGGTTCGACCAGATTAGTTTAGGGGTTTAGGGTTTAGGGTTTAGGGTTTAGGGTTTAGGGTGTAGGGTTTAGGGTTTAGGGTTTAGGGTTCAGGGTTTAGGGTTTAGGGTGCGTCAATTCGTCTTGCTAGCTAGTAGACAATATGCCACTGTCTACTATAGGGGCCTTAATAATTGGAATAGGGTTTTGGGGTCCTTTGTAGTATAGTTACAACAAGGAACCCCCCCAAAATAATATGGGTAATTATTGAGGCCCCCTAAAAAATTTTAGCAGAGCTGCATCCTGACATTAGCGCTCTGACAAACCCACGAACATCGCACTGGGAGAAGTGGAATGAGTACATATTCCAGCATCGGCAAAGGCAGAAATCCCTTTGTAATGGGATAGTCCATTCGCGACATGAAGGATTCAAACGAAGTGTTTCTTTGCCCTTTGCATGAAAGGCTTGGGTACATACTCTGGACTAGACTAGATACCGCCTTCTCCCGCTCCTTTCCCAGGGATACCGAAAGACAATGCCATTGGAGGAATATCGCCTTATTGCTATACCTTGTAATAAATCAAGGTAAGAAGGCGTCTGCAGTGTAAAACCTAATTCGTCAAAGAAGGGTACTGGGCTCTATGCAAGACACGAAGCACTCCAAAAACTACGTCCCAACCGAAACCCCTACATGGGGCTTCCTGAAGTAGCATATCCTAGTATTGCAGGGTTTAGGGTTTAGGGTCTATGATCTTCTCCTGCATAGGTCCTACATCAAAATTTGCACCACATCATAGGCAGATCTCGCGTTAAGCCGTACAGCTCCACAAACCCAACGCCCTGAAACCCCAAAGCCGTCAAGCCCAAACCAATAAACCGCCAACACAACCTTCAACAAAACACCTAACCCAACACGCGCACACAAATCCCCTAACATTCCCGCAGCAGAACCTTCCCCCAACACTTAAACTGCCGTTCCAGGCACCTAAACCCCGAACCCTAAACCCTCAACCCCTCAGCCCTGAACCCCTAAGCCTAAACTCCCGCTCCGGGGCTCTTCTCCTGCTTCGTGACTGGGACGGGGTCCGGAGGCTCTTCCTTCTCCATCACTGGGACCTTCTGAACGAAGTTTAGGGTGGGACCTCCGGTTCGAAGTTTGGGGTGTCGGTTACAGCGTTTAGGGCTTAATTAGGGGTCTACCTTAAGAACCTAAAACCTACTTTTTTGTAGGTTCTTAATGTAAACCCTAATATGGGATTTATAGGGACTCTACAAAAAAGTAGGTTTTGGGTTCTTAAGGTAGGGATTCGGTTGTAGTTTGCAGTGCCTGTAGGGAGCACATTCCGGTTCGCCGGCTCTGGCTCCCCTGTCCCTACGCCTGGTTTTGCCCCAGTCCCTGGTTTAGGGTTTAGGGTTTAGGGATTAGGGTTTAGGGACTGCCCCTCCTCCTTTGCTCCACTCTGCCCTTCACCCCTGCCCTCCCCTGTTCGCCGTCCTCTTTGCCTTGGAACCTGGCCCTGCGAAAGAAACCATCGACGGCGCACGTCGGCAGTGCCCTTAAAGATCTTGTAAAGGCCGTTCGAAACAGGGCACAACCTCTAACATACAGGGTTTGGGTTATAGGGCCCAAGGAGTGGGATTTGGGCTTTGGGCTACTGAGCGGTTACTGTCGTCCAACGTATTGATAAGGCCTGGGATACTAAACCTTGAACCAAAAGCCCATTTACCCAACGACAAAGTACCTAAAACCCCACGGTGGTACAGGGGTCTGGGGGATTGAGGGTTTCAGGATGTGGTGCGACAAGGATTATAAGGCATGGCTAAAGGTTTACGCCGAAATCCCAAGTCCCTGAACCACCAAAAACCCTAAACCCAAAACCCAAATCCCTAAACCCTTAAGCACCCAAAAACCCTAAACCCAAAACCGGCGCCTCTCAACGGCCCAAAGCCCGCAGCCCCTCAGTCCCCCTCTAGGCATGTCAATAGACTGCACTTGTAACTTCCCTCCAGGAAATCCGCAACACATGTTTCAAGCTTTAAGATTCCGGGTGTACTGGCATGCTGGATTTGGGGTTTGTCCAATTTGAACATAAAAGGCACATTATTGACTGATGCTCCTTTAAAATCGGATTCCGGAATCTTTGCGGGTCCCATGGACAGTCATATTGCTAGTCTGACCAAGCTTCCCCCCCGGCCTTTAGGTTTCATTGCATCCGTTTGATATCTTTTTAAAGCAAGGATTGTGGGACACAGAATAGTAAGGCTACCATTCGGTCTCGCAATAGCCCTACCTAAACACTATAAACCATAAACTTTACACCAAACGCGACCCCAAACCTTGATCTCAAACCGAAACCCCCCACTATTCCTTTGCTCGGTCCAAGCTGCTGGTTTTCGGGAAAGCGCTTCGCACTTCGCGCTCATGTCTCCAGTGAAGAAGCTCTCCTGAAGCCAGTGCTGGCAGGGCTTAAGGCCTGGCTTAGGGCTTAGGACTTAGGGTTTAGGGTTTAGGGTTTAGGGTTTAGGCCGTGAAAACTTGAAGGTTCCTCCCGGAAAGCAAGCCAATGGAGCATCAGCTCATCACCGCCGCGGACTCACCGTCTCCTCCGCGCCCGCTTCCAAAGTCTAACGAAGGTCATGTGTTGTCTTGAAGTCTCGTTCAGCTAACACTTTGGCCACAGTCTCCGGCAAGGCGACTTTGGAGAGCCGACTCGTGAATCTGGTCTCGCAATCCGTGAATTCCGCAGCTATAAAGCAAGACGATCAATCGAACACACAGACAGACAGACAGACA